GTGAGTACCAGATTGTCGTGTTTCTGCAGTGGTGGCCCTCGCCTCGGGATGGCGAGTAGGACCTTGGGCTCGCCCGAAGCTGTTTTCCGTAGGGTGTATTTTCCCAGTTTCTTAGTGGGCTGCTTTGAATATGCTGTGAAACGAGTAACGAGAGAAAATCCATTTTATGGATATTACTATTGAAAAGGATTTGTAACAAGTCTAGTGTGATGTGAATGAAGACATCTTGGTTGATCCATATATGTTTCAAATATTGATTGCTGGATAAGGAAACCTACTCCAGATCACGGATATATAGCATTCAGTATCATTCTATATTCGATTGAGCTCTCGCAGAGGTCCTTGGGTGCCATGATACGTCCACGTAGTTTTGATACATTTTTTGGTTAAAAGATATCAGAAAAAAACATTACTTCGATGCCATAAACCGTAAGCAATCAGATATAAGAGGTTGTATTGACTTGCTCTTATGGCTTATTTGATATCTGATCATTTCGGAAAATTTGTCTGGAGTATTTGATAGGTAATTATTTGTTACAGATTTTTTTTCCCTAGAGTCGTTGAATAACTGATATCCACATTTGCAGAATCATTGAACCGAGACTCTAAAATTTTCATTAACTTTTTTTTTCTTTTTCTTTTTTTTTCTTTTTTTTTTTTAGCTATCATGTTTATAAACTAATAACCTCATTTTGGCCCCGATGAGAATATTAGTGTAATCGTCGAGGTGCCGTCACGTCGGCTAGCATCTGTTTAATTTCCCTGGGGAGCGCGATGCATGCAGTCTTGTTTTGCGGGGCATGCGAGCGCCGGCTCTTCCGCTGGATAGACAGGCGGGCCCAGGCGACTCCCTCCCCTCCTTCCCCTTCCCTTCCTCCCTCTCCTCTCCCTCCCTCTCCTCTCCCTCCCTCTCCTCTCCCTCCCTCTCCTCTCCCTCCCTCTCCTCTCCCTCCCTCTCCTCTCCCTCTCTCTCCTCTCCCTCCCTCTCCTCTCCCTCTCTCTCCTCTCCCTCCCTCTCCTCTCCCTCCCTCTCCTCTCCCTCCCTCTCCTCTCCCTCCCCCGTTACGCGCCTCCTGCCAAAGTATGTAATCAAAACTGTCCTTCTCTCGTGGCATCTCGTGTCTAACTTACCTCGGAGCGAAATAAGAGGAAGAGGGGAAAAAAAAGTGACAGAACAGTCCAACATGTCCGAGGAACCAGCAGGAATCGCTTGTCTTCCTACGGTGTAACGGGAAATATTTTTTTTTAAATTGGATGGAAAGAATACAAGGGATCCGTCCGATGAGATAATGAGAAGGAATGATGAAATAGGAATACTTAGAAAGCTCAGTAATAGGGCGAGGAGGTAGAAGAACTTAGGGAACGAATGAAACACTTGTGAAGCTAAAAAAAAAAATGTGTAGACAAGTTAATTGGAGATGCTGGGACGCCAAAGCCACTCCAGCCTGTTAATCTTTTTAATTGTTTTGAATAATTAATAGTGGTAGAGCATAGTTTCATTAACACGTGATGATTTACTCAAGAAGCTGATGACAGTAGTTAGACTTACTCTTGCCTGATATTCAAGATTTAAAGTACTATATCTGCAAATTTGTTAACGTAGACTTTTGATATAAAAGGAAATTATTCCAATACCTAATTAACTTAATTGGTATTCGGACAGAACGAAATGAGAGGGAGAGAGGTGTAGGCCGTGCGTGTTGTGGTAAAGCGATCCCCTCTCACTCGACGGGCTACAGAGAGGAGAGATAGAGCGACCGACTTGTCAAGAGAAAAAAAAAGGGACAGAACCAGGAACATTTTTCGAATTTGAATCAGACCGGAGTTTTCGCTCATTTTTAAAAAGATTTACCTTCTTTGAGAGAAATAACTACGTTTTTCGAATAGTGTGGCCGATGAATGAATGCCATCCGACTTTAATGTAGGAAATGTCGTGGGAAAATGTTTCTCAAAATTTACTAAATGGTAGTGACTTTATGGAATGTTTTTTTCGTTGTTGTAATTACTGTGCTTGCAAAAGTTCGCATTTTTTCCCGTTCAAGCAGGACGATTAAATGTTTAATGGTGCTGTTGCCAGGAAAGATAAGACTAATGAAAATTATTCCCGATGGAGAAAAGAATAAATACGGAGAAGAAAATCATAGTTTAACATTTGACAGTCATTTTCCGTTATTCTTGAAAGTGACATAAGATGTAACTCTTGCAGTCGCTCAGGCCCCTTTTTCGGGGCCTGAAAAGTCGAGATCGCAAGTTAATATAAGATAAAATGAAGGAAAAGGGGGGAGGGAAGGGGAGGAAGAATTAGTTTGATAGTGATAGTGATCGATGACCCGGCCACGTAACGAGCTAGATTCGGGAATTTGTCGCCCCCGAGGAATTACCGGACCGTTAAATCCGGTAACCGAACATCGGCGGAAAGCAAAATCAGCGGAACCCAAACTTCGGCCGCGAAGAAGCATGGCCTCCGTAAATTTGATGGCGAGGAGCGTTCTGAAATTCGAGAAAGGAAATTTTAGCTTAATAAATGCCTTGATGGATCGTGCTTTTATTTTTTTTTCCTTTTTTCCTTTCAGGGTTTGAGGCGACGAGGGGAGGGGAATGGAGGGGGGGAGGGAAGTTAGTGAGTGAGTCGGTGGGTGGGTGAGTCGGTGGGTTAGGTGAGTTAGTAAGTGGACGAACGAGTTGGTGGGTAAGAATATGGGCGGGAGAGTGAGCGAGTGGCTGTGACGTGTGTTTGGGAAATAGGGAATAAAAGTAAAGGAAGAAAGAGAGAGAGAAAAAAAATCATAGGCGGAAGAATAAGATAATAGAGTGACTGAGGGACGCCAGCCTTTGTCAGAGTCATCCGGGGTTGGCTATCTTATACGCCCCGAACTTTCTTTTCTTGGCGATGTGATGTCCCCCGACGTAGAGCTCCCGGTTTGGCCGAGTCGCCTGCCTCGTAACACGGCGCTCGATATTACGATCTCCCGTTCACCTTCACCGGCTGTTGGACTCGGGTCGTAAGGAGGTGCTTCTTGATCGAGGGATATTACCGTGATTTAGATTTCCTCGTGTAATGCGACAGGTGCGACAAGTAGGTGGGAAAAAGTAGTCGATGGGATGCCTCCCTTCCAGAACGTCGAGGGGCGCCGTGGTTAACGGGGCTCAAGACGTCCCCCCACCTCCCCCTCGCCGTTAGGAATATCCCCTTCAAAGTGTTTGTGGATAACGTGGCTGTCGATCTGTAAAGAGAAGAGGCGGGGGAGGGAGAGATCCATGTGAAATTGTATATAGAAATTCGTCCTCACACGTTAGACCATCTTTATGGGCCCATGTGTGTTTTTAAGAGCATTTCCTAAAGGAATGTTAAAGGGAAAAGGCCCGTCTTAACCATAGCGCACGGGCACGCCCTCGGATGGGAATTGTGAAGAGAGGGAAGCAGGGAAACAACGAGGGGATGTTGATGTATGCGTGTGATTTACTGAGCTCCTTTGGGTATCGGCAGCTAGGTATTGTCTCTGTTTTTGTCCTCGTTTAATAGGATTGAGGAATCAGTCTTCGGGTATGCTATAACAGTAATGGCAGGTCGTGCTATTCACACTTTCACATTTTGATCGAATAGACACATTTCAGGAGAAAGACCGAGAAAGACGAGATGGGAAAACGGAGAAAGGAATAGCGGAGAAAAGAAAGGAGAAAGTGACTGGGGAAAAAGTGAGTGGCAAAGGCGAAGGGATAGAAAGTAAATGGTAGCGAGAGAAATGGAGTGGCAGAGAGAAAATGCAGAAGGAAATTTTACTGCATAGTCAGAGTTCCCTTTTCTCGCAAGCCTTGTTGCTGCCAGTCTTCGGTCCGTGTTGCCCATAAGATATTCATCTGGCTGCTGTACGCCTCTCCTTGGCGGTTCTTGGCGCGATGGCGTTTCTCACATTTGGCCCGCGCGTCGTCGAAGGACTTGGCCGCTGCTGACTCCACAGTGTCACCGCGTGCCATAGCTCCCATCGCGCCGCCCAGCTTCCTCTGGCACTATTGATAAATCACATCGAGCGCTAACTACTCGTGGCACCTCGGCCGGGGCGGGGGAGGGGATCAAGGATACAGAGGAGGGGTCCCAGGTCCCTCTGGTGCCGCGTCGACAGTCAGACTTCTCATTAGTCTCATTATTCCGTTGTTTTCACCGAGTTTCACTTATTGCTTATTCTGCCACGTGTCAAGGGGTCAGTTCCCGCCTCGCGTATGATTGAATGGCGCAGGCGACCGCCATGGCTAATACCTTGCGCGTTGCAAAGTTCGGTAGATTTAGCTTCAAAGATTGTGTTTGCCCGCTGTTCCTTGCTAATGTTCGTCAGCGAATCAAAGCGAGAGTCCTGAGTGTATTGGCATTTCTTGGCTTGATGAACGTGAATAGCTTTAGTTTGACAAAATTAAGGATTTTTATTTCGCTTTTTCAGCTGAATATCATCATATATTACATAATATAGTTGTAGATGATCTAGATTTTACCTGGGATTTTGCTAGAAGGGAATTTGCAATTAAACAGCTAAAATATACTATGGAGTAGAACACAAACATGCATACCGTCATACGCAACGGTACCGAATATGTAGCTTTTCTTTGTGTATAATGAAGTAACATTATCAGAGATTTTGACACGTTTATATCCAGATAAAAGCGTATGTGTAAATGTTCTTGATTTACGAATTTACATGTTTGTTGAAGTATTTACTTTTGTTGGGCAGTTAGTTTACTTCTATTTTCTGTTTTTTATTCGAAGTGACGTCACCCACCAAGGGAGCTTGAAATGTGACCATGATTATCCTTCTGTTTTAGGCTCATTAATTAAATGCCAAAGCTCGGATTGCAAGCTTAGTCAAGTTTGTTTTCCGAGCTTAACTCGTAACGGGAAAAGTGTGACTGTATTTTCTCTCTTTGATTGTTTTGCATGAGCTGTCGCCCGTAACCATCATGGCGCTGGGAGAACGCCTGTCCCGCCGTTAGAATAATTATCCGCAAAATTC